CCCTACATACACCCCAACATTACAAAAACTACAACATAAAATAATTACATAAAACACGAAAAACACTAAAACCTACACACAACACTAAACCACACTCCCCACATTACAATACATACACACCATTACAATAATTACACTACACAACGAAACATACTTATCCTACCGCACTACATCAAATACATAACAAATTTGCACTACATTACACTACACCACACTACATTACACTACACTACAGTACACTACACTGCATTACACTACATTACACTACACTACATTGCACCACATGAGTTAGACAGTTGTTACTTGTTGTTATGTGAATGTGGTCGTTTTACAATCCTTAATCACTGTATAATTACTGTATTTAAATGATAAGGAATCAAACAGGTACAGAGAAAGGTGTGAGTCATTTCCTTGTATTGAAATGCTGCTTGGTACTGAGTAAACCAATAGGTCTGTACAAACATACACTCCTGTTCACAATCACAACCTTAGAAACATTAAGACTCACTTCTACATCTGATTGCCCTGGTAAAAGTCCCAACCTGTGCTGGCTGGTTTATGACTAATGTGTTCTGTGTTTCCCCCAAAACGTCTACGTGCTGCTGCTGCAGGTCTATGTTTTCCCTGAGACTATCTTGACTTGTCCGACCTGACTCGACCGAAACAGGGAAAGGACCTTGAGCTTGCTGCCGCAATACAGAGTAAGCTGGAAAGACAAGAAAAGAGATAAGATATGGGCTACAATATTACTTTATTGTAAGTGATTGAAATTCCTCCAAAGCAGCTAAATATGTTCTGTTTCCTTTTCCTGCTTCAATTGAATCAAGACTCATACCCAACATTTATTGACATGCTCTACCCCAAACTAACATACATTTACATCACACCGTTATTGTTGTATACTGTAAATGCTCTTCCTGTGTTCATGTTTTGCTTTAACCGCGTATTGACTGTAAGTCAAGAGGCGACATCAGGAACCAGACATCACAACACTGAGAGATAACACAACATGGCCCAAAGGCATGATCAGACACTAACAGTACCATAAAGTCTATAGAGTACAACAGAGACTCTCAGTACCATAGATAGGCATTAACCTGTCTAGACACTTATCAGACATTAAACTATGGGTGGGGTCAGCCACCTGATGATGACTACTGATGTGATCATGTTTATCAATGCGTGTCAATGGCCTGTTAACAGTAAGTCCCAGATATCATACTTCCTCCTGCCCGTAAGAGTTCCAGTGATATTCCACCTAAAAGAGGGAGGAGAGAAAGAGGGAGAGAGAGAGAGAGAAAAAAGAGCAAGAGTGAAAAACACAGAAGGACTGGGAGAGAGAGAGGGAGGGAGGGAGAGAGAGAGAGAGAGAGAGAGAGAGAGAGAGAGAGAGAGAGAGAGAGAGAGAGAGAGAGAGAGAGAGAGCAAGAGAGAGAAAAAATAATCTGCATTATCATTAACAGCAGACTAGTTCATTTCCTCAGTGAAAAAAATGAACTGAGCAAATGTCAAATTGGCTTTTTACCAAATTACCGTACGACAGACCACGTATTCACCCTGCACACCCTAATTGACAAACAAACAAACCAAAACAAAGGCAAAGTCTTCTCATGCTTTGTTGATTTCAAAAAAGCTTTTGACTCAATTTGGCATGAGGGTCTGCTATACAAATTGATGGAAAGTGGGGTTGGGGGAAAAACATACGACATTATAAAATCCATGTACACAAACAACAAGTGTGCGGTTAAATTTGGCAAAAAACACACACATTTCTTTCCACAGGGCCGTGGGGTGAGACAGGGATGCAGTTTAAGCCCCACCCTCTTCAACATATATATCAACGAATTGGTGAGGGCACTAGAACAGTCTGCAGCACCCAGCCTCACCCTACTAGAATCTGAAGTCAAATGTCTACTGTTTGCTGATGATCTGGTGCTTCTGTCACCAACCAAGGAGGGCCTACAGCAGCACCTAGATCTTCTGCACAGATTCTGTCAGATCTGGGCCCTGACAGTAAATCTCAGTAAGACAAAAAATAATGGTGTTCCAAAAAAGGTCCAGTTGTCAGGACCACAAATACAAATTCCATCTAGACACCGTTGCCCTAGAGCACACAAAAAACGATACATACCTCGGCCTAAACATCAGCGCCACAGGTAACTTCCACAAAGCTGTGAACGATCTGAGAGACAAGGCAAGAAGGGCATTCTATGCCATCAAAAGGAACATAAAATTTGACATACCAATTAGGATCTGGCTAAAAATACTTGAATCAGTTATAGAACCCATTGCCCTTTATGGTTGTGAGGTCTGGGGTCCGCTCACCAACCAATAATTCACAAAATGGGACAAACACCAAATTGAGAGTCTGCATGCAGAATTCTTCAAAAATATCCTCTGTGTACAACGAAAAACACAAAATAATGCATGCAGAGCAGAATTAGGCTGATACCCGCTAATTATCAAAATCCAGAAAAGAGCCGTTCAATTCTATAACCACTTAAAAGGAAGCGATTCCCAAACCTTCCATAACAAAGCCATCACCTACACAGAGATGAACTTGGAGAAGAGTCCCCTAAGTAAGCTGGTCCTGGGGCTCTGTTCACAAACACAAACAGATCCCACAGAGCCCCAGGACAACAACAACAACACAACTAGACCTAACCAAATCATGAGAAAACAAAAAGAGAATTACTTGACACATTGGAAAGAATTAACCAAAAAAATGAACAAACTAGAATGCTATTTGGCTCTAAACAGAGAGTACACAGTGGCAGAATACCTGACCACTGTGAAAGACCCAAAATTAAGGAAAGCTTTGACTATGTACAGACTCAGTGAGCATAGCCTTGCTATTGAGAAAGGCCACCATAGGCAGACCTGGCTCTCAAGAGATGACAGGCTATGTGCACACTGCCCACAAAATGAGGTGGAAACTGAGCTGCACTTCCTAACCTCCTGCCAAATGTATGACCATATTAGAGACACATTTTTCCCTCAGATTACAGAGATCCACAAAGAATTCGAAAACAAACCCAATTTTGATAAACTCCCTTATCTACTGGGTGAAATACCACAGTGTGCCATCACAGCAGCAAGATGTGTGACTTGTTGCCACAAGAAAAGGGCAACCAGTGAAGAACAAACACCATTGTAAATACAATCCATATTTCTGTTTATTTATTTTCCCATTTGTACTTTAACTATTTGCACATTGTTACAACACTGTATATAGACATAATATGACATTTGAAATGTCTTTATTATTTTGGAACTTCTGAGTATAATGTTTACTGTTAATATTTATTGTTTATTTCACTTTTGTTTACTATCTACTTCACTTGCTTTGGCAATGTTAACATATGTTTCCCATGCCAACAATACCCTTAAATTGAATTGAAATTGAGAGAGAGAGAGAGAGAGAGAGAGAGAGAGAGAGAGAGAGAGAGAGAGAGAGAGAGAGAGAGAGAGAGAGAGAGAGAGAGAGAGAGAGAGAGAGAGAGAGGGTAGGCAAAAGAGAGAGTGGAAGAGAGAGAGCGAGTGAGGAGAGAGAGAGAATGTTGTGATGTCACTGCAGCCCCCTCATATCCAGTACAAAGGCAGGGGATCATCATAGTCAGCATACCAACTCTGCTATACAGACTAATCTACTGCTTTCAAACACTCAGACACACACACGTCACCCAGATACAGGCAGTCACAGCATAACTCACACCAGGACCAGGGTTGCTAATACTACGGGCTGAGCAATCACAGTAAGTAAAGTATGCTTGAGCGGAGGGGTTCTCCTCCGCTCTACTTTCTTCTCCTCATCACTCGCTTGCTTTTCTTTCTCTCTTACTTTCTTGTTCTTGTCTGAGTTCATCCGCTCTCTGTCAGTCCCAGTAAAACAGGCTCTGTTTGAAAACTCCACTAAAGACATACTGACTTCTCCGTTAGTATGCAACACACATCCTCTTTCTCTCACCATTCTGTCATTTTGCTCCTGCTCTTTCTTTCTCTATATGTGAACAGTGACTAAAGTGATTAAGGTAAACCCTAAATGTATTTGCATGCTGGCATAGATTCAAGACTCCCCGCTTTGTGTGTCTGTGTGTCTTTCTGCCCTGGTGAATGTGTTACAGACATGTGTTCCTGTTAGTCTCTAGTTACACTAGTGCAAGTCTTAATGTTGTGTATCAATGGTGTTATAATGATGTTATAATGAGGTTATAATGATGTTATAATCGCTGTAATGTCTCTAATCTGTACCAGAGTTAGATTTCTGCAGTGCTTTATTTGTTGATAATAGTAGTGGTATTCCATATAGGATAGTAGGGGTTGATGTAGTAACTGTTCTGTCTCCACTGATGTCCTGTGACTGTGTGAATGTACAATATGTGTTTGTTGGTAGTGTTGGTGGTCTGGCCCTCTGTGTTGAGTCATATACAAGGAGCCCTACTGATCATTGTCTCATTCCCCTGCAGATCATGTTCTAAAAACAGTACCTGAGTTTATCTGAGTATAAGTAGGGTACGAGGGTAGGTGACAATGAGCCTTAGGAGGGGGATACAAAGTTCTGGTTATCTCTCTGTCTCTTCTGTTTTAGCCTCGTTGCAAAGTCTCTTCCATCCCTTTTCTCTCTCTGTTTCTGTTTCTCTCTCTTTCTCTTCCTCTCTCGCTAAAAGTGCCAGCGTTCGCTCTCTCTTTTTCTCCCTCCCTCTCTCTAAATCAAAATGATGGAAATAATGCCAGGTTTATGTGGTGTGTCTCTCTCTGTTGACATGAAAAGCCATTCTGCCACCCAGCTGGGTTGGTCTCTGGTCTCTGTTTACCTTTGAATGTTTAAAAGCAGTAGGGCAGCTGTCTGTGTGGGGGTATTAGAGGGAGTGGACACACACACACACACACACACACACACACACACCTACAATTGTGTTGGTGGACAGCCAAAGGCAACCGATATAGGTGTTCTAAAACGTTTGACTGGTACTGTGTATATATACTCTCTACTGCTCTAGAGCAACAGCAAGGAATCAGTGACCATCCACCCTCCAAGCAGAAGCCACATAACATTACTGAAGGAACGTCTGAGAAGTTGCAAGAGAGCTCTTCAGCCTTCAGCATTTTGGAATTTGAACTGTACCAGATCCACCAGACGTTGGGGATTTAAAGCCCTCTTTGTTGAACCAGGCCGGCACCAGCATTTTAGACAGTCTCAACAGCACCAGAGGAAGGGTGTTAATCTAGGATCAGACAGTATGTTGGCTCAGATCC